CAGAACAATTTCTGACTTTTGAAGCGATAACCAAGTCCAGATTTCACTAGTACAGAAAACAATTTTTAAGTCAAAAAACCAATAAATCCACAGCCCATAAAATACCTTACTATCACAAAAATTTTAAAAATTTATAATTGTCTTTTTTTAAACCAATTGGAGATGACAGCTATACAATTGCTGATCAAACTAAATCAAGCACTAGTGATCAGGCACCAAAATAACTGCCAGCTTAGAAAACAACGCCCTTAACAAGCCAAATTAAACAACTCCAAATAACCAACCTTTACCGGCTGCAACAAAAAAAGCATCAAAACGCCGACTGTAATGAACAATTTAAACGTCTTTGAAAGAAGCACAGATCAAAGCAAGTTCAGTGAAAGCTACCTTTACAAACAGCAGCTTCCTAGAATTCCAAAAACATTAAAGGTTGCAGGAAGAGAGTTAGATACCCAATAAAAAACAGCTGATAAAGGAAAATTTGTATGACAATTGAGTGATACCCATAAAGTCCCTACTTGAAATTGACATTAGCGAAAGAGTCAATCTTTAATCTTACTAAATCACCTTTAACTATATCATTATTAATAAAAACGCCAACGTTATCTTACTACAGAAAAAGTCCCAAGAATGATGTTAAAAAGCATGTACTTTTGAAGAATCATATGCTGCCAATTTTTACAGACAACTCGCAAAACATTTTACAGTTTACATCGGCCTTCAATGTCACCAAATAAATTAAACTTAATACACCGAAAAAACAAAATTTAGAAAGTAATCACAGCATATCACCGTTCAGGGTTCTCTAAAGTTTCGCCTAACTGGTCTAGAATTTCCTTTCTATAGTCGTCAAAGTCGCCATCTATCTCAGCAATATCCTGTAAACATCATTTCATATAACATCATAATCAACAGAGCAAGATTTTGAAAAAAAGTAACATAAACTAAATGTAGAAGCTGAACAAATTTGTCCTCCGATACCGATGCTCTACTAATCTTATGCAGTAACTTCCATGCCTAGCTAAAATGAAAAAAGACACTATACTTGATCTTCGATAATCCATAATTGACAATTGGTTTCTCTAATTAAGCGTTCGTCATGAGTTACCATAATTACACCACCATCATAACTTTCAATTGCCTCGGCTAATGCGTGAATTGACTCGATATCCAAATTGTTAGTAGGTTCGTCCTAAAAGTTGAAACACAAAAAACTTTCCTTTCAAGAGCATTTTACCTCAAAAATCTCTAAAAAATTACCAAGACTAAAATGTCTGGAGCGCTAAGCGCTAAATCGGCAAGAGCAACACGAGATTTCTGTCCACCAGACAATTCTTTAATTTTTATAGTGTGTGAATGACTTGGAAGACCCACAGTCCCAAGCCTTTTTCTGGCTTCCTAAAATTCCACCGCACTTCACAAAATGACGTTCCAAATTTAAAACAATCTCCTTCAAAAAAGAACTTTTTTTAATTACCTGATAATCAATTTGAAACCTTGAACACAAATATTCTACCGGTGACTGTTCCTTATTAAGAGCCTCATTAGAATGCTGATCAAACCATCCAATCTTCAACTGTCGGTGTTTTCTCACCTCACCAACTAACTGAGAAAAAAGAAAGATTCGAAACATAAAAATGAAGCATATGTAAAAAAAATGAAGCTGAACTCAATGTCACTCCTAAATACGACTTTAAAATATTATCAAGATAAGAAGTACCGGCTCCAACTTTCCACATAAAAGTTTTAAGAACGTTGACTTCCCAACACCATTTTGGCCAACAATTGCTATCCTTGATTCCATATCCACGCCAAAATCCACGTTTTTAAGGAGCTGCAGGTCACCGTAACCAAAGGTGACGTCTTAAAAAACCCATTTTTCTACTGCTGGTACAAAGTAGTTAATTAAAAAAAAAGAGGGTGCATACTGTGGAGACCAAGGACCGGAGGAGGCAATTTCGGCGGTGAAGGGAAAGAAAATTTAACATTGTATTCTTTTATGCGTTGCAGCAATTCAGGTGGTGGCTCATCTTCTGCAACAAGCATTAAAAATAAAATAAAAAAAAAAGTGGTGCAAATTAAGGTATTATTTCAAATACTTACAAAAACTAATGGTAAAACGTGAGCAAGAAAAAAAAAGGAAACTATTAAAGAGATAACAAAATAGCAGGAACGTACCCTCATCACCGATGGTTGCAGAACTTCCTTTCTTTGTCTTTCCTCCCTTATTCTGTTTATTTTGTAACCGAATTTTCATTTCTTCATTCGCCTGTTTAGCGCTCTTCCCACTTTTTTTCATTGCGGCAATTTGTTTCTGCTGAGACTCGTATTCTTTAATATATTTTCGGACTTTCTGATCCTTCATTTTCTTGAAAGAAGCTAAAATACTTCTTACACTAAAAAAATTCAGTACCAAGGCTAAAGTGGTACTTTTGAGAGGCACCTCAAGATAAAAAACTGCTTTTTCACTCACAATAATTTCCTTTATAATAGTAAAGCTTCTGACTCTGAAGATCAATTATATCAGTACAAACGCTATCTAAGAAGCCTTGGTCGTGAGAAACAATTAGTAGTGTCTTCTTCCAGGACTGTAAATAACTGAAAGAAAAACGTTTTCGTAATTCACTCTTTTACGGCACAATGGGTGCATCTAAATTTCTCATAAAAAGAGAACACTATCCATACTTATCAAGCCAAATAACTGCATTCAAATCAAGATGATTCGTAGGTTCATCAAGCATCAAAAGCGTCGGTTCCAAATACAAAGCTCTGGCTAAAGATATGCGCATCCTCCATCCACCAGAAAATGCAGATACTGGCTAAATAACGACTTTATCCAAAAAAAATGCAATAAAATTTTGAAAACCTCAATAAAAGCCAGAAATTTCGAAGTCTTTACCTTTTCTTGCATAGTCTTTGTAAACCCAAGACCCGCCAATATACGCCGTGCCCTTGGTTCAGCAGCATCTGCTTTTATTGTCCTCAACTCTTCGGCTACCTAGCAGCATCAGCAGTATTACCAGTAAGACAAAAGGATAAAATTGCAAAGCTAAAAAACGACTCATACTTCTTTAAGGCGTTCGCCCACCGAAGAATCACCTTCTTCCAAAAGTTTTGTTAAATTAATTTCCTCTTGTAACAAATTCATGCGAACTTTATCTGATTTAACTACAGTGTCAACAGCCGACGTATCATCCACCTCGATTTCTATTTTAAAAAAAAGACAGTTATAGTAAACTGAACTAACATCAAGCAACAGCAAAGAAATGATTACCTATTTCATCACCAAAAAGAATAAATATTTTAACGCAGGAATCCAATTACCTTGTTCGCAATACAGAAGATCAATATTAGGCGGTATATTTAGCTTTCGTGCAGCAATGTGTTTTAGTAATGTTGTTTTACCCATGCTAAAAAATCAACAGACACTTCAAAAAGCATGATACTTTGCAAAACACAATATTTCTCACCCGTTTGGTCCAACCAAGCCATATCGCCGGCCAAAGGCAATGGTCAAATCGGCTTTGTGGAATAAAACTCGGCCTTGAGCAGAAATATCAAAGTTTTCCACCTAAAAAGAGTACTTTAAACCAACACGGAGTAAAAAATCATTGCTGGCACCAAATAAGCAAAATTTGGTAATTTTTCAACTAGCCTTAATATCGGCAGCATTTTCAAGCTGTGAAAGTTGAGCTGTAGTTTTGGCCTGCTGAGAAACAGAGAACTGTTGTCCCAACTCCGCGCCCGAACCAATTCCACCAATCTCTGAGAATAAAACACAATAAGACTCAAACACTTTGTGGTTGTCAAAATAGAACAGTGCTTTTGAAAAATTCACTTTCACTCTTCTCACTGTCAAGTTCCAAGCCTTCGACCTTTCCACCCATAGACAGTATTTCCCGTTCATAATCCGCCTTCTTCTGTAGTTTCTTAAGTTCTTTCCGAGAAAGTTTCTTACCCTCTGAAAATCTGGTGTATAAAAACGCGATGGGATTTACAAGATTCTTTTGAGCCAGAAGCAATTCATATTCGGTAAGGAACATACCGGTGGCAGACAAATTTTTTGCTCCTTCGGGGGTTTCATCAACTTTCATGCCGAAGTCTTCGTACAAAGAAATGAAAGTCAAATGCACCTCTCAAATTTAAATATCAACTAAGGACAGAGCGACACGGCAACTATACGCATATAATACAACATCAAGGCAGGAAAAAACCCACTTTATACTGTACCTGATATTTCAAAACTCATACGATACACAGAGACACCTTTTCTAGCATTTACCCTAAATCGCTTCTGTACCTCACGTTAACTCAATAACTACATACAGTAACAAATTTTTCTGGATTAAAGCCACTAAATTCCTCCTTAATGATCCGATTTTTAAACAACATGCAAAAACAATAACAGGGATGGAATTCTGTGAATGCTTAATGTGCCTGTCACACTGTACAACTAAGACCAAGAAAGCTACACTTTGATAAATCTATTGCTGACAAAAACACGCCAATTATTTTAAAGCCCGTTAACACAAGTTTTAACCTAACAAGTAATTGGCCTGGTCCTATTCTTCTGGTTTATCTACTGACAAACAATACTTGCACAATACATATGCAAGCTGCAGCAAGACTAAATTTCCTCGGTTTCCACTAAAGTTGGAAATGTGCCAGCAGCCAGTCTTTTGCGCGGCGAGACCAATAGTGGTTTAGACCGTAATATTTAGTGGATACTTTTTAAAACGGTCATGGCTTGTTATGTACTGGATGGGGTTCTTAGTGATCTCTTTGGAATTTCTTCGTCATATTCGCTTGTAACTAATGCAGCCAACTGGATGCAACCGTGAACCCGATTTAAATAAAGTCCATATATATATAAATATATATATATATATATATATATATA